CCTGGAGATGTATTCTGATGAATTCTGAACTCTGCTTTTTCATCACAAGGTGAGACATGAGCATTCTGTAAATGAGTCAGATGTTAAATTCATAGAATATCTCCAGGAAATGGCAATCAATGCACTGTCCAACTAATTTTGTGTGGGTATGTGTATAATCTTACTTTATGGTACCCAGGAAAGAAACCACCATCTGCACTGTTTGATGCATTCGACTCTGATGAACACTTATTAGTTGCACACATCTTGAGGTCTGTAACGCCCATACAGGGCTGGGCTCTAATTTCAACACAGCATGACCGTATTATTTTAATTGCTACTGCTGCCTGTCAGCTTAGTGTTGCCAAGAGATGTAATTATGTACAAACATTCATAGGATGCCAAAATGATTTATTCATGACCTGTTCTGTAACATCTCTTACATGCCTGATGATGTTTTAGTAAATGAAGGTCCCAGTGGGTGAGTGAGCTGTGTTGTGACCTGTAATGAAGCTGACACAGATGAAGCTTTTTCTCTCAGTCCCTGGTACGAATATCAGTGGATTCAGATAAACCATTTAAAATCGTGTGTGACTGTGTGTGTGTGTGTTTGTGGTTGCTGCTGTCCCCTGCTTCAGTTCAGTCTGGAGGATGACATCTGGAGGTCATTAACAGTCATTGCAACATTTTCTCATTCTCTCTAGCGCTCTGCAGAGGTGAACGCTCAGCAGTGAATTCAGTCATGTGAAAGTCACACCAACAGCAGTCAGTTTCAGTCATCAACTATCCATTTCTCACATGCAGCACCTCAACACACCTCTCGGGAGAGCAACATGGCTGCAGACGAGTCTAGATGGCACATGAAGTGGTTTAATATCATTTCATCAGGCAGTGTTCAATATGTAATCAAGTTCATTTTAAGACAAACATATTTATACATACATATAACAGGGTCAAGTGACCCTATTGTACTTAAATAATATTTTTCCACCACTACTAGTGTCACTGTAATATTTGTGTCCTGACATAGTTTCACACTGCTGTTTCCATTGTGTAAATGTTGCTTAATATTGCAGTATTATTGTAGTTGTGTGCTGTAAGGGACACTTCCAAACTTGTGTAAGCTATGTCCGGTAAAGCTGTCTATGCAAGAAGATTATTATATTATGGTGCCTAATCTTGAATGTAACACACCCAGGCACATGCAGGTGTGACTCGTCTTGCTGTAGATCACGTGGTTCTCATGATACGTTCAGGGGTCCATCCAGTTGAGTCTGTATCAGGAGCTCTTTTGAACTTGAACAGTACACACAATACTACAGTCACTTTGATAAAGATCCATTTATTTGATTTATGCAGTAGAGTCCCCTTTCACACCAGAAGCTGCCCATAACATCCAGAGTGTGATCTGCTGGTCACTGCAGCAGCTGAGGGTTAAGGGCCTTGCTCAGCAGTGATTCCACCACAACAAATGTATTTAGATTTCTGGTCATTAACACTCTTCTCTAGGCCAGTTGTTCCCAACCTGTCAGCCTTGTGATCCATAAAACAAAGCAATCACACATTGTCACCGGTTGTATGTGTCTACTAGTTGTAAACAGTATTGTGAAAAGTATTTTCCTCCTTGTTTTATCTAATTACTTTCTAAAGGTCTAGGAGATTAAACCAGAAACACAGCAAAGATGGCAAGAAAAATGTACAAACACTGCTTTAGGTGACCACTGTGCCTAAAAAAATATATATAAAATGTATTTTCTGTATCTGCTAATGATCTGCTAATTGTGTATCTCTAATATAAGAGCAATATAAAGCACAATGTAATCTCCTTTTAGTCCATTTGTTGTTTTTCTTCTTTGTTTATTTTAGAAATATGCAAGCAGAATCCTAAATGGGCAGATTTCCGACAGCAATTGAAAGCCTCACCTCCAACACAATCATTCCAACTGTGAATCAGCCCCTTTAAGAACCTCATGGGTGTGGAAAGGGGGAAGTTTTTAGTGAGTCCATGATCACGTCCCATTTAGCTTTGTGTTAGCCCTTTTGTAAAGAGGCGGGACTTAAGGATGTGTGTGATATCTCTGTTAAATAAAATACACATTCACTAACACATATCCAGTGTTTTAATAGCCCACTGCTGACTATACGAGTTCAGAAGTGCTTTCAAAGCAAGGTAAAAGGACAGAAGGAGCGTTCATTCAAGTGTGAAACATTTCGGAATGGTACGCGTCCAGCGGGATTCTAGCCGCTCTTCTCATCACGACACAGCAACAAGGAAAAAGTAGCAAAGAGGACCAGGATACAGTTGAATTACAAGTGAAACGGCGCGTCAAGGCGAGGAAAACGGGGAAGTGAGTCAAAACCGCCCTCCCCACTGTTCAGAGCTCTTCATATGCGAGCAGCGGCCGCCGCAGGCTCCCACGGACACCATGGTTCCTGCTCCCCTGTGCAGCCGCCTCAACCCAGGAGCAAGGAGCACTGTGCGATAGTCGAGCGTAGGCTGCGTGGCTCACTCAAACCAAGTCAGTGCTTCTATTGTCTGAAAGCCAGCGGTGTAGAAGATGGGGCATCCTCCTCTGGAGTTCAGTGACTGCTATCTGGACAGTCCGGAGTTCAGAGAGACTCTCAAGTGTTATGAGCAAGAACTGGAGAGGACGAGCAAATTTCTCAAAGAGTTGATAAAAGATGGCAACAGTGTGATCACTGCAATCAAAGGTAAGCTCTCACTTGAAGCTCTCACTTTTCTTGCGCGTTGCATGTGAATATGGTGGTGTGCTGAGGGCTGGACAGAGGATCAGCATCAGTGGGGCCTTTTTTTTAGGGCCTCCAGGATCAGTGTGGGTGGCTGGGAGAGGCACATTCAGGGAGGTGCTAGTGCTCCCATGGGAGAACACCAAACAGCTTTCTTAGAGGGCCCATTGATCTGGTGCAGATGTGCAGGATGACCTGCTCAGTTTGTCTCCAGACAGCACGAAAGCTTGTCATATGTGTGACTCTGTGTGTGGTGTGTCCTCTCTCTGCTGCTGGTTGTAGAGTGGGACCAGTCCCACTGATAGTGTGGAGCAGAGCCAATGACAGCAAGCAGTAGATGTGTATATTTGGGTCAGTGTGGCACCCATGAAGGAAAATAATTGGGGGTTGGGGGGTTGGGTGTGTGGGGTGTGCGAGGGGGGGGACACTGGTTGTTCTTTCTGACTCCCCAAGATACCATTCTGCTGTCCAAATCCGCATCGATGAGCTTTTCACCTCGCAAACAGTAAGTGTCATTGTAGGTGGTGTAGTAGTGCTGCAGAGTGTGCACTGTATATTCAGTTCAGATAATAGCCCCCGAGG